AGCCAGGTAAGGTCTCCCAGCCAGAGCCTGCCTCTGGCACCCCGACCTCTCCTTCTCTGGCTCTCTCCTGAACCCTTACCCATGTAACCCAAACTTTCTGCACCCCTGCTCCAGCCCCGAGACACTTTCCCAAATCCCTGCACCCCCTCCTGCACTGCACTCCTGACCCAGGTTACAACCCCCGCCCTGACCCTGTATTCCAAGACTGGACAAGACAGACTGTGTGGGCCGGATCCGGCCCGCCAAGCCGTTTGGTCTGGCCTGTGGATGCTTTGCCACTCCCCGCTCCCCAGGCCAATGGAGACCTGGTGACGGGGAAGAGCGCAAAGTTTCCTCCCCTCCACCGGGGATTATGGCACCAGAGGGGACTGCCTGGCAGGAAGTTGGGGCAAAGACTTTACGCACGCCTTGGCCCCAGGCCAATCAGGGTCGGTGGGTAGGGAAGCACGTGAAGCCTCCTGGCCCTGACCCCTCCTTCCCGGGTGGCCCACGACCACTTCTGAAATTTGTGAAGTGGGCCCCCTTCAAATACTGGTGCTCACTTCTGGTCCACACCCTCCACAACAGCCTGAACAGAAGGCGAGGAAGAGATGCTGGAAAGCTTAACAAACCCAGACTCTCTGGAGACAGGGTGAGGGCAGAAGTTCTAAAATCATTCCAAAGCGCTACTGCCCCTGAGACAGACACGTTACACAAAGAGATGGGATAAATTCCCCTTCCCCCTTTGTGTAAAAGAAATGCATCCCCAATGTTTACATTGCAGCTGAACGGGCTTCATGGTCAACAGCACGGAAGCCTCATGGATCAGAATCATGGACGCCTACTCCCCGCTAGGGCTTAGCACAGATCAGGACCCAGAGGTTGAGGGATTCCACTCACATAACTGGAGTGGACAGACCAGCCCTTTTCATTCCTATCTGTCATCAGTTCGGTGCACACATGGAAGGAGTTCCCCTCAACTCTCACACAAAGCCACCTCCCTGCCCTCCTGTATATCCTTCCTTGACCTTCCTTCTGCCCTGAAGTCAACAAAACTTTTGTGCTTACAGACCCATGTGGTTCTTATTGAAGTAATAAACTTGGAGATTGGTTCAGCTGATCTAGGCCCTCATCTGGGCAATACTGGTAAAAGTACAAGGCTAATGTGGACCAGAAGAAGAACTCAGTATTAACACTAATGACTCACTGTTCCCCGCACTCCACACAAAGGAGTGACGCTTATTAAATTCCATTCAGATAGTGGCTCTCACTTTTATCCAGATGGAAAATATACCTCGTTAGAGTCCAGCTGTTAAAAAAATCTAATCAGCCCCTCAATCAATTCATAAAACTGTTCACCCTCACACTCAGGGCATGCTGCGCCCATGGCTTGCAAGATGTGCCAGACTAATAGTAGTAATAACTACTTGTATTATGGTAGCCCCCAGCAGCCCCAGTGAGAGACCAGGCTCCCATTGTGCTAGGCGCTGTACAAGCATAGGACCAAGAGAGGTCTCTGCCCCAAACTGCTTACACAGAAGTGTCAGGCTGAAAGGGCCCTCTGGAGTTTATCGTGTCAAACCCCCAGCACTGTGGCAGGATGGAGCAAATAGACCATTCCTCACAGGGGTTCATCCCATCTGTTCTTTAAAAACCTCCAGTGATGAGAATTCCACAGCCTCCTGGGGAAGCCCATTCTGGAGCTTAGCTACTCTTCTAGCTCCCAAGTGTTTTCTCCTAGCTAACCCCATAGCTTCTTGTCCCACCTTCAGTGGACAGGGAAAATAACTGCTCATAGGCCTCTTTAGAACAGCCCTCAGCATGTGCAGACGGCTCTCTGGTCCCCCTCACCCAGCCTGCCTCACAAGCCAGGGTGTGTAACCTGCGGTCATTTTTTCTGCTCTCCTCTGAAGTCTCCCCGATTCGTCCATCTCTTTCCCAGAGCTGGACAAAGTGCTCCAGGAGGAGGACAATGACTTCCCCTGTCTTACACTCACCACTCCAGCCTTTTTCACAGCTGCACCCCACTGCTGACTCCTATTTGTTTGTGACCCCCAAAGCCTTTTCTGCAGCACTGCCCCAG